GTTGCAGGGGACGACGCGACGTGGATGTTGCGACGCAAAAACCAATTAACCCAGAAACTTGAAAATTTCGTTTCGAGCTCGATACGCTCTCTTACCTTCGTCTGCTCGCCGAGTTTCGAGGCGAAATCTCCGTTTCGTTATGCACGCGGGGGCGAGAGAAGGCGAGTTTATTATTATTATTTTTTTGGAAAAAGTAGGAAGGGGTACGAATTTTATTAATAAATCCAACGATAGTGGTTGAAAATTATTTTGTATGCGATGCAGTTTGTAATCAGATGAAAATTATCGAGAAATTGGAATATTAAATTCCATTGTGAACTGGTAGAATTCCAGTAATCCGTGTAATTTCAATTATTAACCAAGTCTTACGAATATCAACCATTATTATGACTTGTATATATATATATATATATTGTTTTAATCGTTTTAGCGAATTGTTTTTCTTGTTTTATCGTACTAGAAATTATCCAATAATCCTTTTTGCTTCCGACAATCTGAAAATATGTATTATTATACTTTCTGAAACGTTTATAAAATTAAATTCTAGAGAAGAAATAATCGAAATTTCGAAACTATAAATATCGATATCAACAATCGTCGAAGAAATATCGTCCCTTTTGGCACAAACGATCGATTATTTTTTCTTCAACACCAAATGTCGCAAACGCTTCGATAATAATAAAAATCGATTTATTTTCCTCCTCCAGTTATCCCAAACTGGGATTTTTGAAATGAATACGGAACAACGATTCGAAGAAAACAAAGGGCCGAACATCGATTCGTTGCTCGAAACCAGTTCACAACCAGTTTTCATTTCAGGGAAAGAGAGATAGAGAAAGAGGGAGGGAGGGAAAAAAGGCCAATGTCGAAACTTTCGCATTCACGAAATTTTCACGAAATTTCGGAAATCCGGTTAATTTCCTCTCCCCACATCCGTGATCAATTTTACCCTTTCGTGCGACCAACTTTCGAAAAAAAAAAGAAAAGAAAAAAAGAATAAACGAATAAACTCGAGTCAATCGACTTAATTCATAAGTCGAAAACTCGTCTATCATTTTCACCGAATTTTCGTCCCTCAACGATTCCCTTTTCCCTCTCTCGATCGATCCGTGCCGGGACAGAGACGCGAGATAGGAAGGATGCAGAAGGTGGGAGAGCGATGGGGGAAAACCGGGATTGAAAAATCTTCGAACGAGCCGAGCCGATTTATTTCCGATTCGGCGAATCGTTTCCCGCGGTTTTTCGAAAAAATCGGCGGACAAGGGGTCCAGAGGTTATTAATAGGAATATGGTCCATCCATCCATCCATGGTTACAGCGTGGACCAGGGAGGGGTGGGCGATAATGGCGCGCGACCGCTCGAAAAATACCCCCGATGGCGCACGATTCGTTCTCGAATCGTTTTCGAAGCGACGAGGTTTTTCCTCGTGCGTTTCTCCCTTGACTGTCGCGAATTATTGTGTAATATCGACGAGGTTTTTGTTGTTGCTTTTTCGCGCGCAAAGTGCGTAAAAATTGTTTGTTGAAATCGTAATGATTCGTGTCGAATTTTTTTTTGCCATGATTGCAACAATATCTCCGTGCGAGCAAGTAATTTTGTTTAATTCTTTTAAATTTTATTTTTTTTTGTTTTTTATTCGTTATTCAAAGAGTTGGCACAAACTGTTGCACACTGTTGTTGTTCATCAGCCATTATCGTTTAAATATTATCGTATAATATTCCATTATTTAATCCATCGTTTATCGTTCGAGGAAAAAAACTATGAGGATTAATAAATGGATAAAATCTATATTTCTGTTTAACTGTAAAGAATAATTAATTCGCAATAATTAATCCTTAATCCACACAACGCGTCCAAATATTAATATTTAACGAGTTACTGTATGCAGCACGTTGAGATCGAAATTTTTTTGTTTTACCATTCAGAAACATGGTCGAGTATTTTTTTTCTGTTTGTATTTTCCTTTTCTCTTTCCTCTTTTTTCCCCTCTCTGTTATTTTTTTTTTTTTTTTTTTTTTTTTTTTGATACAGTTTGAATTTGACGGACCGTAAAACTTTGAATTCAATCGAAATTCCCCGATAATCGAATTTGGAATTCCACAACGCTTGATTTCTGGTATAGTTTGTCGATATCGATATCGTGTGTAGATTTCCGTCTATTTTCCCATTTGCGGGTTTTTTTCGGATTTGGTTGGTGGACGTCACGAGCAATCGTGAAATGATATAGGGTAACAAAGATGAATACTTCTTGGGAAAAGAAAAGTTTGGAGGGAAATTATATTTCTTTTTCTTTCTCTTCTTTATTTTTGTATCATTGTTACTTTGTTGAAAGAAAGAATTCTATCCTTGGTTTATGATAAACTGTTATCATTATTATCATTATTATTCTTTATATCGCATTGCAAAATCATTGTTGGAATGAATTTAACGAATTATATATCGATATAAAATTTATTAAAATTTTCATTCCGCTTTTTCCTTAAATCATCCAATCAAAAATTCGCATCTCGTATTATCTGCTTATTGGAAAAACAAATTGAAATTAAAATACATATATATATATAAAAAAAAAAGATCTTTCCAAATTTTTCCAAAATTCTTAGCCCCGACTTCTTAACCGAAAATCTCTCCAAACTTTACCTCCTTACATCGAAATTCACGCGAAGAACCCTCGCACTCGCCCTTAAACCATCGTCCCTCCGTCCCTCGACCATCCAACCCCCAACGGCCAGCGTTTAATCAATGCTTCCTCTCCACTTGGGAATTTTCTCGAAATCTTGAGGGATGAACGACCCATCCAGCGACCAGCCTCGCCTCGACAGACCAACTCTGTCGTTGTTCGTTGCCTCTCGAGCCCTTGTCCCGATCACAGGCTCGGTTCTCACGTGGATCCTGAAGGGAAAGGAAAAAGGGGAGAGGGGATCGATAAGTGGCGAGCAAAGGAGCAACGAAACTTGGCCGATTCAGCTCTTACTTACTGTAATAAGTTGTTGCGAATCGTGGTGGTGGTGGTGGCGGCGAGAGGAGGGCGGTGGTGGCGGCGGTGGGAAGGGGATGGATCGATCGAAGGGGGTGGATTCTGCCCGCGTTTTAATCCTTCGCGTTCCGTTTACCTTTTAATTTCAAGTGGGTTGGAAAGAAGAATCGCCACCCCTTGCCTTGATGTTTTTCTCCTCCTCGAGAGTTTTCTTATTTGGGGAGGGGAGGGAAGATGTGTTCCAACAACTTTGGAGGAGAATAATTAATGGGTTCTTTTCTTGTTGGGGGAGGAGGGGGGTTGGATGTGTTTGGTCGAATCGATCGGATCGGGGTGGATTTGGGGTGGTTCTTGGAGATGTGAGTCATGGAGCAATTTGGAAGCGTGAGATTTGGAATTGGATTTCGGAGAAATTATTTGTGTTTTTGTGGGGGGGGGGGGAAGGTTATTATTAGTCAGGATTATCGTAGGAAGGATATTTTTAGCAGCATTGCATGCGAGAATATTATTCTGTCAAAATGTCTAAGCGAATTGTTGTTCGTTTGTTTAACTTGGAATTAATTCTAGGAACATTTTTAAGATACTTTTTATTTCAATAATTCGCTGGATTATTATATTTTTTCAAATTTATAAATTTAAAACCACTTCACTTCGTTCGTTATTTTAAATTTCTTGATACAATTAATTACACGTACATTTCACGTACAAAATTCAATCAAGTTTCTTTTCGTCTTTTTTTATCGATGCATAATTTTTAAACCAAATATTCGTGACCAAATTGTATATTCGTATTGTTATTCGAGCATTTATGCGAAATTCGAACGACACAGCAAAAATGTGTCACGAAATATAAATCCGTCTATTTAATATTTAAAAAATATCTCTCTGTTTTCAATTATTTAATTCCTTCACTTCCTTGCGAAAAAGATTGATTTCGTCAGGAAAATTGAACATCCGGCTACGAACGAAAAAAAATAATTCTCGAACACGAATAATACTTTGTCGAACGTCACACCGTTTAATCGGCGCTCTCTTTCCCTAGTCGAGGCACGCGCCACCCCCGCACGACACGACGAGGGTTGTTCCTCGTGATCGTGAGCGGCGCGGAGGAGACAAAGGGTACAATGGCACGAAAAGCGCAACGTGGAGGATCGACGATGGAAACTGCGGCAGAAGGTGGCCTGGCAAGAAACCGGCCGCAAAGCGGCTTATCATCGCGTTATCGATTTTGGCCGAGACGTTGCCAGCTGGAGCTCGACCGGCTCAACTTGTTTTTTTTCTCTTTTTTTCTCTTTTTTTCTTTTTTTTACCGTGAAACTTATCCTTTCTCCTTTTTTTTTTCTTTTTTCCATTTTCTCTTTTCCCCTCTCCCCGCGCTTTCGCGATAAATAGATGATAGAACCCGCACGGGTGAACGAACTTTGTGCAAACTAGTTTCGATTTTTTGCGTGGTGGGGATGGTATTACGTATATTAGGGGCGGTTAAAACATATTTTCTTTCTTCTTTCTTTCTTTTTTGCAGAAGCAAATGCGGATGTACGAGGGTAATTTAAGGAGAGAGACGTGTGAAATTTAAATATTTTAAAAGTATTGGTTTTTTTTCGTCTAGCATCTTTGTAGATGATTGTGCAATTAGCATCTGGACTAGTGAAACTTGAAACATCGTAAATTATTGTTTTTAATCGAAAATACCTTCGATTTCTTGAAACGAAAACAATTTTCACGTATAAATTATTGATATTATATATTTAATGAATTTTCATCGATAAATATTAAAAATTTCAATAAACGCTTCATCTTCCTTCAAAAAACAAGAATAGAGTGGACATGGTTCGGCGAAGGTAAAGTCATCGCACGAATTTGTTTCACGGATTGTTTCATCGCCACTAGGACGAATCCGACAGGTCGAAGGCTGCAGGGCATCAAGCCATCCCTTCGTGCTGTCGATAACATTCGACCAGACGAAACGTTCAAGGGACAGTTGTGACAAGATGTTGGATGTATCAGATCGCTAAAATCCTATTACTGTCCGATCTAACTGGAGACAATTGCCTTCGATCCCGTCCTGTGAACGTTCGCGCCCCAATCGTGGAAAACTTTCAATCGATCTAACCTTCCATTTTATGATAACAAAGCAAAAGAAGTATTAATATAAATCGTTGTATCAACCCTTGACGAATTCACGAGTGTAATACGCTGTTTATTTTCGTTTCTCAGTTTTTCACAATACGTATCAAGAAATCGATATCTCCGTAATATCGAGGATATCGATTTGATATTGTGATATCGTGGCGATAGACATAAATGGCGTTCAATAAGTTTCATATTTCTGTTACAGAAAATTGATATTCTTTTTTATAATAAAAAAATAACAGTTGATCATATTCTGAAAAAATTTTGAATCTTCACAAGAGTTTAAAATTTCTTTATACATTTTTAAGTTAATCTTTGCTTTGACGTTAAAGTACAATACTTTTCGTTAAAAATCGAATGAATTTTTTTCTCTTAAGGCTTGGCACGATGATTCGAACAGATCTGAGAGCATATTTGTACACGGGACGTTGTTGGCTGGCCAACAATGTCCAAACTGTTTCCCATCGATGTTTCCCATCGTACCGTGACTTCGATTCGACGTTGCACAAACGCGGAGTGCACGCATATTTTATACTTGGCACACTTGGTGCGTAACGCCTCGTCGCGTTTTTTTTTTCTTTCTTTTTTCTGAAATACCGTTTCCCCAGTAGAATCGATGCAGTCGTAATTATGCAAACTATCAATGAACGAATGTGAATTCATCTCTTCTTTTCTTTCCTTTTTTTTTTTTTTTTTTTGAAGTGACGCGTTCGGTTAACTCGATTCGTGATCGGTTTTAAGCTTTTCCAAGTTCAAATTGAACTCAGAAGAATTGTTTGGCCAACGATTGAGATTGTTTGTATTCTAGAGATACGAAGGAAAATTCCCAGATACGTTCTTTAATCCTTTTGCGGTTCTACGTCCAATGTGATTGCACATGGATCAGTCGAGTGGTTTGGAGAAACGATTTTATTTCAACAAATCGTGTATCGTTATACTTGGATCGTATCGAAAAATACTCGAATTCCACGATGATTATGAGTTAAATATTCGTTTCAAAGATTGAATTTTCCTTCTTCAAAAGTCACTTCGCGATGATTGGTAACGAAAATTTTGTTATTTGTAAAACTGTTTGCAATCTAATACTTCTGTTTTCACTTCGCCGATATTACTTTCTCCCAAAGTCTATCACATCCCCAACATCATTAACCAACCCCCAACGTTCCCAGCCTCCATTTACAATTCCCATGCACCGCCAAATCATATTCCACGCGTACTCCCCATTCCCTTTTCATCATCGCTTGCTCCCAACACTCGAATGCTCGTTGTTCTCCATCGAATCCTTTCGACGAATCGACCACAGTCGAAAATCCATCACGATAGATTAAAACAAAAGCTTGCATCTCGCCACGAAATTTCGAACACCAATTTTTCCGAAACCACGAAGCTTTGTCACAATCAATCCAAGCTCGAAAATTGAAAATTAAAATTTTCTATTATCTTCTAGTTTATACAAACTTCAATTTATAAACATCCATGCTTCCAAACTCAATATACGATATTACGATCAAAATTTCTTATTCGGCCGAAAATTTATTCCAAATCTCGTCTCAAAAGATGGAGGAGGATTCCCCTCCTTTTTTCCCCTCCCGGATAATTACCGGCGCGCGTTTCTCGATCGCGGAAAGCGGTAGAATTTCATACGGAGCCCACCTTCCTTTCAAACGAGAGTCCGCTCGTAAATCATCGTCAACCACGCTGACAAGTTTGTACAGGCCTTATACGGGGCCGGTTGTTTATCGTCTGTGTATGCACGGCGCAAACCTCGTCCCCTTTGGGCGCGCGCATTCACTGCAAACCGAGGTACCAACCCTCCTCCGGTTCGTCGTTACGCAGGCCTAATGGCCGACGGTGTGTCCCCGTTGTCGGTGGACGTCGCTTCAAACACGCGTATCGCGCGTGTAACCGTTAATTGGAACCTTTACGCCGGACACCGATACCCGCGATCTATCTTTATCTCCGTCACCCCCCTCCTCCCCCGCGCTTATGATACACCGATTACCGCTCAGCTTCCCGTTTCCCGGTAATTGGATAAGGGAGGGGCAACTTCTGAATCCTCTCTGAGAGCGAGGATGATTGCGCTGGATATCGCGTTTTCAGTTTCTTCGATCTTTAGATATGGCGTTTTCTGTGTACAAGTGGAAGGGAATGGTATTAGGGGGAGTTTTTTTTTGACGGTGATTCAAGTGGTTAAGTATGGAGAAATTTTGAATTTTCGGGGATTCTTAGAGGATTTGAANAATTCTTAGAGGATTTGAAATTTGGTTAAAGATAGATTCATGGATATTTGGAATTTTCAGTTCTTCTTCGGATTAATTTTTATTTTAATTTAAAAACATATGGAAGGGAATGGTATTAGAGGGAGTTTTTTCTTGAAGGTGATTCAAGTGGTTAAGTATGGAGAAATTTTGAATTTTCGGGAATTCTTAGAGGATTTGAAATTTGAATTTTCAGTTCTTCTTCGGATTAATTTTTATTTTAATTTAAAAACATATGGAAGGGAATGGTATTAGAGGGAGTTTTTTCTTGAAGGTGATTCAAGTGGTTAAGTATAGAGAAATTTTGAATTTTTGGGGATTCTTAGAGGATTTGAAATTTGGTTAGAGATAGATTCATGGATATTTGGAATTTTTAATTCTTCTTTAATTTTCATTTTAATTTAGATTGTGTGGGTTTTAATAATAAGGGCGATAAGTGAGCCAAAGTCAAGTGAAATAATGCATTATTTGTAATTGGACCTCTAATTTCGAAAGATCATCAAATTTTCACGAAAATCTACCAAGGAAACACTCTCTCCGCCTCTAAATATTTACACACCCGATCTTATTCCATTGCTGGGATATGCTCCACTTCCATCAGGCCGACTGGCGGCGAACGAAACGGGCATGTTAGAATAATGTTTCCTTTGAAACACCTTGGCGAGATCCTCCGTGGCTAGAGACAAAGATATCCGGTGTCTGGGACGAAGAGAGAGAGAGGGAGAGGGCACCGTTCCATCGGGAAACCAGCAGACCTTCCTCCTTCCAGACCGGTGGATCCGCTTCGAACCAGCCAGACTGCCGAGCTTGAAATTCCCTTAGCGGAGAGGAGGGATACCGTGCGATACCGCTTCTGAACGCTTTCTGAACTGGTTTGCTCCTCTCTGTTTCCCTCATCGATGCCTCTCGTTAAACGGAAGTGTGGCTGGAAACGAGAATGAATTTCTAAATTGCGTCGTCTTTTTAAATTTTTTTATAATTCGTACGTTTGGTAAATGAAAAATTTTTAATTACTCTTTTTTTTTTTAGAGAGAAAGGAATTGTATGCATTTTACAAATTAAGAAGTTAAAAGTTAAGAAATTATTCTGCTATTAAATAAATTTATTTTTAATATTGAAATTTTTAATTAAAGAGAA